TTGCTTTTACAAGCAGCGGGAGAAAATGCCCCCCTCCCTGAGATAGCATTTAAAGTGATAAAAAAAAAAAAAAAAGACAGTGTAAACATAATTAAATAAATCAGAAAAAAAAAAAGTACCCTCGCTCGCACGCACCTGTGGTCGTGAGCGTTGACCCTGTGCCAGTATGGAAACAGCGATTGCACCATGCATGTGAGGTATCGCCACGAACGTCAGATCAAGGGCAGTAATTATAGCTCTAGACCTCCTCTGTAAATCTAAAATGGTAGCTTGTAAAGGTTTTTAAAGCGTTGCCTATAGATATTAAAAATGTATGCGGTTTGTCACCATTGCACAGGACATGCGCAATTTTAAAAGGATGTCACGTTTGGTATCTATTTACTCAGCATAGCATCATCTTTTATATCATACCAAATAATTGGCCAATATATTGTGTTTTTGTGCATTAAAATTAAAAAAGTGTATATTTTAAAAAAAAATTGCGTTTGAAAAATCGCTGTGTAAGTAATATGTGAGATAAAAAAATTGCAGCACCCACCATTTTATTTACTAGGGTGTCTGTTCTAAAAAAATATATAATGTTTGGGGGTTCACTTTAATTTTCTAGCAAAAATACTGATTTTTTTTTTAATGTGAACAAAAAGTGTCAGAAAAGGCTTGGTCTTCAGGTGGTTAGAAGAGTGAGTGATGTGTGGCATAAACTTCTAATGCTGGGCATAAAATGCCCCCACCCCCCAAAATGACCCCTTTTTTGGAAAGTAGACACCCCAAACTATTTGCTGAAAGGCATGTTGAATCAATAGAAGAATTTATTTTTTTACCACAAGTTTTTGGAAAAATGACAAAAAAAAAAAATTACACAAAATTGTCATTTAAATAATTTCTCACACATGCCATATGTATATGTGGAATTACTCCCCAAAATACATTCTGCTACTTCTCCCGAGTATGGGGGTACCACATGTGAGAGACATTTTGGCAGTCTAGCCAAGTATAGGACCCCAAAATCCAATAAGCACCTTCAGGCTTTTAAAGGGCTTTATTTCCTCATTACACTTCCTGACTACCTATCACAGTTTCGGAGGCCCTGGAATGCCAGAATAGCACCAACCCCCCCAAATGACCAATTTTTGGAAAGTAGACACCCCGGAATTTAATAAGAAGCATGGTGAGTATTTTTCAGATCTCGTATGTTGCCACAGGTTTTTGGAAAGTGAAGAAAAAACAAAAAAAATTTTTTCTCTTTTTAGATTTCAAAACCTTGTGAGAAAAAAAAGTGTGCTACTTTCCAAAAAAATGGGTCATTTGGTGGGTGGGTGGGGGGGGGGGGGTGCTATCCTGGCATGTCAGGGCCTTCAAAACTGTGATAGGTAGTGAGGAAGTGAAATGCAGAAGTTACGCACCTTCAGGCTTTCAAAGTGGTCATTGGATTTCAGGCTCCTGTATGTGGCTAGGCTCCCAAAAAGTCTCACACGTGTGGTATTCTCATACTCGGTAGAAGTAGCAGAATATATTTTGGGGTGTAATTCCACATTTACCCATGGCTTGTGCGAGAAATAAATCATTTAAATGACAACTTTGTGTAATATAAAAAAAAAAAAATAATATATATATATATATATATATATATATATATATATATATATATATATATATATATATATATATTTGTCATTTTCCAGAAACTTGTGGAAAAAAAATAAATCTTCCATGGACACAATGGGGTTTATTTACTAAAGCTGGAGAGTCCAAAATCAGACTCCCTTCTGCATAGAAACCAATCAGCTTCTAACCTCAGCTTGTTCAATGAAGCTTTGGCAATGAAACCTGGAAGCTGATTGGTTTCTATGCAGAAGGGAGTCTGATTTTGCACTCTCCAGCTTTAGTAAATAAACCCCAATATGCCTCTCAGCAGATAGCTTAGGGTGTCTACTTTCCGAAAAGGGGTCATTTGTTCTATCCTGGCATTTTAGCACCTCAAGAAATGTGATGGGCAGTAAAAGCTGTGTAAATTTCAAATTATCTATACCATAGTTTGTAGATGCTATAACTTTCACACAAAGCAATCAATATACACTTATTGGGATTTTTTTTACCAAAAACATGTAGCAGAATACATTTTGGCCTAAATTTATGACAAAATTTGAGATTTTTGGATATTTTTTATGACGGAAATGAAAATATTTTTTCCAAAATTTTCGTTTTTTTTTTTTTTTTTTTTTTATAGCGCAAAAAATAAAAAGTGCACAGGTGATCAAATACCACCAAAAGAAAGCTCTATTTGTGTGAAAAAAAGGACGTAAATTTCATTTATGTACAGCATTGCATGACCGCGGAATTGTCTGTTAAACTAGTGCAGCGCTGTATAGCAAAAAAAGGCATAAATTACAGTATCTATACCATAGTTTGTAGACGCTATAACTTTCACACAACGCAATCAATATACACTTATTGGGATTTTGTTTTACCAAAAACATGTAGCAGAATACATTTTGGCTTAAATTTATGACTAACTTTGAGTTTACGATATATTTTTTATAGCTGAAAGTAGAAAACATCGTTTTTTTTCAAAATTAGCGCAAAAAATAAAAAGCGCACAGGTGATAAAATGCCACCAAAAGAAACTCTATTTGTGTGAAAAAAAGGACGTAAATTTCGTTTGGGTACAGAATTACATGACCGCGCAATTATCAGTTGAATTAGTACAGCGCCAAACAGCAAAAAAAGGCCTGGTTATTAAGGGGGGGTAAATCCTCAGGAGCTCAAGTGGTTAATCTCCTCTTCTCAAGAGAGAATACATTCAGTTCCTCTAATCTTACCTCATAGCTGAGCTCCTCCATGCCTAGTATCAGTTTAGTTGCCCTTCTCTGTACTTTCTCCAGTTCCCCAATGTTCTTTTTGTGAATTGGTGCCCAAAATTGAACTGCATATTCCAGATGAGGACTTACTAATGATTTGTACAGGGGTAATATGATATCTCTCTCTGGAGTCTATACCTCTATTAATACAAGAGAGGATTTTGCTCTCTTTAGGAACCGCAGCTTAGCATTTCATGCCATTATTAAGCTTGTGATCTACCAGAACTCCTAGATCCTTCTCCACCATTGATTCCTACAGTTGTACTCCCCCTAGTATGTATGATGCATGCATATTCTTAGCCTTCAAGTGCATAACCTTACATTTAGCAACATTAAATCTCATTTGCCACAAAGTTGCCCAATTAAACAGTTGAGGTTGGCTTGTAAATTGAAGACATCCTGTAAGGACCTTATTACACTGCACAGCTTGGTGTTATCTACAAAGACTGAAACTGGATTTTTAATCCCAGACCCTATATCGTTTATAAATATATTAAAATGTAAGGGTCCCAACACTGAACCTTGGGGTACACCACTGACAACCCTAGACCATTCAGAGTATGAATCATTAACCACTACTCTCTGAATACGATCTTTTAGCCAGTTTTGTATCCATTTACATACAGATTTTTCCAAGCCTGTAGACGTTACCTTACATATTAGCCGTGTGTGGGGAACTGTTGCAAACGCTTTTGCAAAATCCAAGTATACCATGTCCACTGCCACCCCTCTGTCCAAGGTTTTGCTCACCCCCTCATAAAAAGAAATCAGATTTGTTTGACAACTTCAAACAGCATGGATTCATGAAAGACAGTTGCTTAACCCCTTCACGCCTAAGGGTAAAACAAATCTAAATGCCTAAGCACAATTTTGCAAAGTTGACATGTGTTAGTAAAACCGTACATATCATCACAACTACTTTGTACATCCAGGTGAATTATACCGCTTTATTTCAGGACAAATTGGGCTTTCATTTGGTGGTAAATGGTAATGGATATCTCCTGATTTTTTTTTACCAAAGGAAAACTGGCCCAAAATAGTAAAAAAAAAAAAAATCTTTTTTTTTATTTAGCTGTGTGTTTGTTACTAACATAACCTACCACCAAAGAACAACCCAAAATAAATTCTCCAGCTCTTGACGATCGCAGCGATACCATATATGTGTATGTTATTTGTACCCGTAGTACAGCCCAGAAACAATAGTGCACATTTTGGTTTTTTTTGGTTTTTTACCTAAAACACACTGATAGCAAAATTTTTTTTAATCCTGACCTTTAACCCTGACCCAAATACTAACCCTGGCACTGAACTAGATCAAACCTTGATCTAGGTATTTTTTCTTTACTTTTTAATATTTATTTCTTTTTTTTTTTTTTTTTTTTTACAAACATTTTTTTTCTCTCTATGCCAGGTGTTAAGAGAGATACAATGTATCTCCTCCATTCATAGAAAGAGAAAAAAAACCAAGGGGGCCAGGCTGTACAGTGACTGATCACTGTACTAGCCAATCAGAGGCTATCACAGCGATCATGTGACCTGGAATCGGGAGTCCCGTGTCCCAATCGTTAGAACAGGACCCGGGGCTGTCAGTGACACCACGTTTTTTGTGCTGGGATCGCGCTGTGCGGCACGCTCCTTGCACAAAGACAGGTACGCAAATATGCAGCCCCACGGAAAAGAGCCCAGTTCCGTGAGGCCGCATATTTGTGTGATGTCAAGGGGTTAAAATATTTTTTTCCAGCAAGAACTCATCTATGTGGTCTTGTATTAAACTCTCCAGTATCTTCCCAACTATAGAAGTTAAACTAACAGGTCTATAATTACTTGGTACTGCTTTTGACCCCTTTTTAAATAATGGCCTTACGCCAATCCAGTGGTACTATGCCAGTCATTAACCACATGCTGCCCAGCCACTGTATAAATACGGTGGCAGGGCGGCACGGCTGGGCAAAACCACGTTTTAAAACGTGTGTTTTGTAAACAGGTAGGGGGCGCGCGCAAGGCGCGCCGCCGCCCTACCTGTCCCGCCGATCACAGCCGCGGATGTCAGTTGCCGGGTCACAGCCGGTCCTTACCGGTTATTTCCCGGCGATCGGCGGCAATCCCTGACAGAAAGCACAGCTGCAGTAGCTGTGCTTTCTGTCAGTTCCCTGACAGCTGCAGGACAAGCTGATCGGGACAGAAGAGTTTCTCTCTCCCGATCAGCGGTGTCCTGTGCAGTACACACCCCCCGCCCCCTAGTAAAACACTCCCCTCACACAGATAACCCTTTCCCTGAAAAATAAACTTAACCCCTTCCTCCCCAGTGCCATTAGTACAGTGTCAGTGTTTTTTTTTTTTTGCACTGATCACTGTATTGGTGTCACTGGGGATTTCAGTGACCCCATGTCAGTACCCCCCAATATCAGAATGTCCGCCGCAGTCCCACCATAAGTCGCTGATCGCCACCATAAGTCGCTGAGCGCCGCCATTATTAGTATAAAAAAAAAAAATAAAAATCCCAGTATCTTTCCCGCCATTTGTAAATGCTATAACTTTCACGTAAACCAATTAATTTACACGTATTGGGTTTTTTTTTTTAGCAAAGACGTTGCAGAATACATTTTGGCAGAAATTTATGACTAAATTTGATTTAAATTTTTTTTTACTGGACATGTTTTATAGCAAAAAGTCCAAAATATAGTTTTTTTTCCTCAAAATTGTCAGCCTTTTTTTTATAGCGCAAAAAATAAAAACCGCACAGGCGATCAAATACCACCGAAAGAAAGCTCAATTTGTGGGGAAAAAAAAGGATGTACATTTCATTTATGTACCATACTGCATGCATGACCGCGCAATTGTCCGTTAAACTAGCGCAGCGCTGTATAGTAAAAAAAAATGGCGTAAATTGCAGTATCTATACCAGCAATGGGCAAACTACGGCCCGGCGGACCTTTTAATCCGGCCCACGGAGCTAGGCTCCCGCTAGGCTCCTCTCACAGTCCGTCCTGAAGACCGGTCTACCATGAAAATCTGTCTCCTATGAGGATCTGTCCCCCTCGACGTATCTGCGCATGTACCGGAGATCGCCGATCGGCTGCTAATGCCTGAAACTGGCACATGCGCAGATACGTCGAGGGGGACAGATCCTCATAGCAGACAGATTTTCATGCTACACCGGAACGGCGCGGGAACACGGCGTGAGGAACGCGCGGAGCAAAGGTAAGTGAATTGACACAGGGGGGACTTGGGGACTTAATATGGGGGATGAATTACTATATGGGGGATGAATTACTATACGGGGGATTAATTACTATGCTTACTATGGGGGAATATTACTATACTTACTACTATGGATGACACATACACATCATTCATCTACTCTTGGTCCGTCCCCCGGGTCCAATATATGAACTCATTGCGGCCCTCAAGTCAAAAAGTTTGCCCACCCCTGATCTATACCATAGTTTGTAGACGCTATAACTTCCACACAAAGCAATCAATATACACTTGTTGGGATTTTTTTTAGCAAAAACATGTAGCAGAATACATTTTGGCCTAAATTTATAACAAACTTTGATTTTACTATATATTTTTTATAGCTGAAAGTAAAAAATATTGTTTTTCTTCAAAATTTTTGGCCTTGTTTTGTTTATAGCGTGAAAAATAAAAGGCGCACAGGTGATCAAATACCACCGAAAGAAAGCCCTATTTGTGTGAAACAAAGGACGTAAATTTCGTTTGGGTGCAGCATTGCATGACCGCGCAATTATCAGTTGAATTAGTGCAGCGCCGAGTAGCAAAAAGAGGCCTTGTCATTAAGGGGGGTAAATCCTCTGGAGGTCAAGTGGTTAAAGAGTCCCTAAAAATTAGAAACAATGGCTTTAAAATGACAGAGCTCAATTCTTTATGGACCCCCCGTGGGTGTATGCCATCCGGTCTAGGTGCTTTATTCACCTTTATACTGTCTAAATATTTTTGGATCATATCAATTGTGAGCCAATGTGGATCATCTGGAACTGTGTCAATACCATACCCATTATGGACAAGAGCTCCCCCAGGCTCCTTTGTATACACAGAGCTGAAGAAGGTATTAAATAAATTTGCCTTCTCTTTGTCCCCAGTCACCCACTCCAGATTATTTTGTAACGGCCTATATGCTCGGACCGAACCTTTTTACTATTAATATATTTGAAGAATTTTTGGGTGTTGGTCCTGCTATCTTTTGCAATCTGTCATGCGTTTTAAATTTTTGCGGCCTTTATTTCCTTTTTGCATATGCGGTTATATTCTTTGTAATTTTTAAACGATAGTGTTCCTTCATTTGTATATTGAATTAAAGATCTTTTCTTATTATCAATAGCTTTTTTAACTTTGGCTGTAAGCCACATAGGTTTGATTTTTAGCCTTTTAAACTTGTTGCCCATGGGAATATATTTTGCAGTGTGTTCACATACAATCTTTTTGAAGAACTCCCATTTCTGTGTTGTGTTCATCAATGCCAATATTCCCTCCCAGTCTAAGTCTTGGAGAGCAGCCCTCAGCCTTGGAAAATTAGCTCTCTTGAAATTGAGCATTTAAAATTTTTCCCATATGTGCTTGCTGTTTACAGCGAACAATAAATTAAATCATGTTATGGTCACTGCTACCCAGATGTTCTTTTATATGGTTATTCATAATAAGCTCTGCATGGTTTGAGATTACCAGGTCCAGCAGAGCATCGTTCCTAGTAGGGGCCTCTATGAACTGTACCATAAAATTGTCCTGTAGGTTTAACAATTTTTACCCTTTAACTGTTCCTGCAGTACCATTACTCCAGTCAATTTCCGGGTAGTTAAAATCCCCCATTATTATCACTGTCCCAGCCTTTTCGATCTGTGCAAGGAGCAGAGTTTCCACCTCCTCATTAACACTGGGAGGCTTATAACAAACTCCAATGACTACTTTTGTAGTACGCACCCCCATGTGTAGTTCCTCATCAGCCTCATCACACTCTCCATCAACTAGGTCCTCTTTCACATTTGCTTTGAGATCACTTCTCACATAGAGACAGACACCAACACCTTTCATATCCTCTTCCATACAGGTCACTTTTACCCCCTTCCTGCCCAGGCCAATTTTCAGCGCTCCCACACTTTGAATGACAATTGCGCGTTCATACAACATTGTACCCAAACTTAAATTTTCTCATTTTCTTCACACTAGAGCTTTCTTTTGGTGGTATTTTATCACCACTGGGGTTTTTATTTTTTGCTAAATTAACAAAAAAAACACCAAAAATTTTGAAAAATAAAAACGTTTTTCTTTGTTTCTGTTATAAAAGTTTGCAAATAAATAATTGTTCTTCAGAAAATTAGGCTAAGATGTATTCTGCTACATGTCTTTGGTGAAAATAACCCAAATTAGGATGTATTTTTTAGTTTGTAGGAAAGTTATAGAGTTCACAAACTATGGGATATATCTGAATATTGATCAATCCTGAAGGACTAACAGCCAATCTAATTTCTTGAGGTCCAAGAATGTCAGAACAGTACAGATATCCTCCAAATTACCGCTTTTTGCAGAGTAGACAGTCCGACGTACTTCATAAGAGGCATGGCAAGTTTTTTTAAATTGTATTTTTTTTGGAAAATTAAAAAATTAAAAATTATTTTCACAATTTTTGAAAAAAAAAAAAAAAAAAAAAATCACCCCCCACAAGTAGTATAGTGTCACCATGGTGACACTGTACTGCTAGGGTTACAGTATGTAAAAAAAAAAAACCCCATAAATAATAATAATATAAAAAAATAAAATAAAAATGTAAACTTTTTTTTTTTATTATTTTTTTTTGGTTATAATCTAATTTGGGGTATTTTATTTTACTAAAGATATAACTGAATAAATGTTGGCCAAGACGTATGACGAAATATTATTTATTTGCAAAATTTTATAAGAAACACTTTTTTTTCAAACTTTTTCATTTATATAGCAAAAAAAAGAAAAATCCCAGTGGTGAATAAATACCAAAATAAAGCTTTATCTGTCTCAAAAAAATTGCTAAAAAATTCATATGGGTACAGTGTTGCATGACCGCGCAATTGTTATTCAGAGTTTGATAGCGCTGAAAGCTGAAAATAAGCCTGGACAGGAAGGGGGTAAAAGTGTCCAGACATGAAGTGGTTAAAGCATTTCATATGAATAGTAAAATGTATGCCGTTTGTCACCGCTGCAAGGGCGTGCGCAGTTTTGAAGCATGACACGTCCGGTATCTATTTACTCTGCATAACATCTTTTATATTTTACAAAAAAAAAAACTGGGTCGTGTATTGTGTTTTATTGCAATAAAATTTTTAAAAAAGTGTATTTTTTTCCCCAAAATTGCATTTGAAAAAAACGATACACAAAAAGCAAAAACCACCAATCTATTCTCTAGGTCCTCTGCTTTAAAAAAACATACATATAACGTTTGGGGGTTCCAAGCCATTTTCTAGTAAAAAATACTGATTTTAAAATGTAAACAAAAAGTGCCAGAAATGGCCTGGGGCTGCAGTGGCTTTACACTGACTTTTGAATAGAACAAGTTCATGGGTACAGTGCACTGCAGATCGCTTTTCAGAGGGTCAGCAAAGGGCTACCACAAGTGTGCCTGAGGCCTTCCAGGCTGGATTGTCTAACTGCCTCCCACCCGCCACATAAGGAAATGACAGGCACAAGGTGGTTTTCTCATTCTGGGAGGATGTCATATGATGTCCTCCCACTCTAACCGTGTATGAGTACCCCCGGGGCGAGCAGCGTGGCGATCGTTGGTGCGCTGTGTCACTGGGACACAGTGGATCACCGATCAGCGGAAAGAGCCGATGAAGTCGGCTCTGTCATGTGATAAGCTGTGTCCAATCACAGCTGAATGCATGTAAATAAGGAAATGCCGCTTATTGGCATTCCTCTCTTCACGAGCTGACAGCTCATGAGAGGAGAGCCGTTAATCGGCATTCCTCAGAGGGGATATGTACACTGATCATCAGTGCCCTGATGATCAGTGTAGCCCCATAGGTGCCACCTGTCAGTGCCCAGCAATGCCACATATCAGTGCCCATCTGAGCTGCCTGCCAATGCCCATCGGTAATGCCTGCCAATGCCCATCGGTGCCACCTACCAGTGTCCACCAGTGCCACCTCATTAGTGCTTATCGGTGAAGGAGAAAAAAATTACTTATTTGCAAATTTTTATAACAGAAACTAAGAAAAAACTTTTTTCCCCTAAATTTTCAGCTGTTTTTTGTTTGTTTAGCAAAAATTAATAAACCCAGAAGTGATTAAATACCACCAAAAGAAAGCTCTGTCTCAAAAAAATTATAAATATTTTGAATGAGTACAACGTTGCATGACCGCGCAATTGTCACTCAAAGTGCAACAGCGCTGAAAGCTAAAAATTGGCCTGGGCAGGGAGGGGGTGAAAGTGTCCTGTATTGAAGTGGTTAATATTCTATCTGGAGGCAGAGCTGCCCTCATAGTTGTACAGCAATACACGGCACATAGAAGACAAGAAGACTGACACCATATGATAACTATGGGAGCTGTGTGTACTCACTGAGGGCAGCAGGTAGATGAACACGAACAACACCAGGTCAAACAGTAGGAAGACCCACAGGTCGAACCAGTAGGAATGGCTGGACCGATTCTTCAGACAGCCCTCCGCCTCCTTCCTCCTCTCCAGCAGCTCTGAAGACACTCTGCTCCCCTCCTTCTCCTCCAGCTGCTGTGCTCTGTGCCTGCTCTCCATACTGTCTCCGTGTAGAACGGGCGGTGGCCAGCCTGTGCGACCGTGTACACAGGAAGCTCACGTGACAGGAAGCTGTGTTCTCGTATCTATGCTGAGTGACGGTTATCCCAGCACGTAGAATGAGAGGGGACTGGCTGCAGACTGGAGCTGCACTCTTGACAGGAAACATGAGACCTTCATTCCATCATTTTTTAATGAACTTTAAAAAAAAGTGGAGGTCACATGTTTCCTGTCAGGTGGAGATCCGCTTGGTTCACTAGAAAAAAAAAAAAGGAGCGAAGGTCACGTTTCCTGTGAAAAAATGAAGCTCCATTCTGCAGCCACGCTCTATTGGAAAGGAGACTATGGACCGGAAGTGGGAAGGGACACAAGCGTGCCACATCTACGCAGTCGTCGGTTGCTAAGGACGCGCAACTTCAATACTGCTGCTCAGTCTGAAGCATAGGCATCCCATGTAGATGTGTATCCCCTGAAGCAACTGCGCATGTGCCAGTTTCAGGCACGGTCAGTCGATTATAGAACTACTGCATCCGAACATGTACCTGAGTTAAATTAACCCTTTACATGCCGAGTGGTCGGCAGCGGACACAGACAATTATTACATGCCGAGTGGTCGGCGGGGGGGCTGTTACATGCCGAATTCTCTGCAGCGACATGGGGACGGAGGGGGGGGGGGGGGTGCAGTCTGCAGCGACATCTGGCAGCACCGCACAGTGTCAGTGACATGCAGGAGGGGGGGTGGGAGCAGTGTCAGTGAAATTGGGGGGGGGGGGGGGTTAACGGTGTCAGTGACATGGGGGGGGGGGGGGGGGGGGGGGGGGGGGGGGGGGGGGGGGGGGGGGGGGGGGGGGGGGGGGTAGTGTCAGTGACATGGGCAGGACATCAGTAACATGGGGGGGAGGAGTGTCAGTGACATGGGGGAGGTGCAGTGTCAGTGACATGGAGGCGCAGTGAAGTGACGTGGAGGAGGCGCAGTGAAGTGACATGGGGGGGGGGGCAGTGACGTGGGGAGGATAACGTCAGTGACATGGGGTAGGACAGTGTCAGTGACATGGGGGGAGGCAGTATCAGTGTTTCATTGGCAGGACAGTGACATAGTGGGGAGCAGTGTCAGGCACATGGAGAGGACAATGTCAGTGACATATGGGGGGGAGGAGTGACATGGGGGGACATGTGTCAGTGACATGGGGGGTGAGCAGTGTCAGTGACATTGGGGGGGGGGGGCGCAGTGGCAGTGACATGGGGGGAGGGGCAGTGGCAGTGACATGGGGAAGACAACGTCAGTGACATGGGGGAGGACTGTCAGTGACTGAGGGGGAAGGGGGCAACACAGTGTCAGTGACACATGGGGGAGGACAGTGTCAGTGACATGGGGAGGACAGTGTCAGTGACATGGGGGGTGAGCAGTGACATTGGGGGGGAGGCACAGTGAAGTGACATGGGGGGAGTGGCAGTGACATGGGGATGACTTCAGTGACATGGGGGAGGACAGTGTCATTGACTGGGGGGGAGGGGGGGCAACAGTGTCAGTGACATATGGGGGAGCAGTGGCGGTGACATGAGGGGGCAGTGACATATGGGGGGCAGTGACATGGGGGGGTGACAGTGTCATTGACATGGGGGGCAGTGACATGGGGGGGCAGTGCAAGGACACATTGGAAAGGACAATGTCAGTGACATGGGGAGGACAGTGATAGCGACATCGGGGAGAACAGTCCTCCCCGATGTCACTATCACTGTTCCCCCTCATATCATGGCCCCCCCATGTGCCTGTCACTGCCCCCCCCATGTCAATGACACTGCCCTCTCCATGTCACTATCACTGCTCAGCCCCATGTCACTGCTCCCCCATGTGCCTGACACTGTTCACCCCATGCCACTGCCCCCCCCATGTCACTGACACTGTCCTCTCCATGTCACTGCCACTTCACCCCCATGTGCCTGACACTGCCCACATGTCACTGCTCCCCCCATGTAAATGTCACTGCAACCTCCATGTCACTGCCACTGCTCACCCCCCCATGTGCCTGAGACTGTCCCCCCCATGTTCCTGACACTGCCCCCCATGTCACTGCTCCCACATGTGCCTGACACTGTCCTCCCCATGTCACTGTCCTCTTCCCATGTCCGTGCACCCCATATCACTGTCCTTCCCCCCAATGTCACTGTCTTCACCAAGTCACTGTCCTCCCCCCCCAATGTCACTGTCTTCCCCATCCTGCCACTCACTGCCCCCCCAATGTCACTGTCTTCCCCATGTCACTGCCCCCCAATTTCACTGTCCTCCCCAATGTCACTAGCTTCCCCATGTCACTGCCCCCCCAATGTCACTGTCCTCCCCAATGTCACTAGCTTCCCCATGTCACTTTCCCCAAAATGTCACTGCCCCCCCAATGTCACTGTCCTCCCCAGTGTCACTGCCCCCCCCCCCCCCAATGTCACTCTTCTCCCCATGTCACAGCCCCCCAAATGCCCCAGCCCCTCAATGCCACCCCCCCCCCTAATGTCACTTTCTTCCCCAATGTCACTGTCCTCCCCAATGTCACTGCCCCTCCAATGTCACTGTCTTTCCCATGTCACTGCCCCACCCCCCCAATGTCACTGTCTTCCCCCCCCCCAATGTCACTGTCTTCCCCAATGTCACTGTCTTCCCCAATGTCACTGCCCCCCCAAGTCACTATGTCACAGTCCTCCCCCAGGGTCATGCCCCCCCCCCCCCCCCATGTCACTGTCCTCTCTCCAATTCATTATGCTCCCCAATAAGCAGCTTCAATCCATCTTGCGGGATCGGCGGCGGCTAGTGATCCGTGGGCTCAGCTTCAGCGGTGCAGCCTGTAAGGGAGGACAGTGTCAGTGATGTGGGGGAAGGAGCAGTGTCAGTGACGTGGGGGAGGGGGGGGGGCAGTGTCAGGCACATGGAGGACAATGTCAGTGACATATGGGGGGGGGGGCAGTGTCAGTGACATGGGGGGGGAGGGCAGTGGCAGTGACATGGGGGAGGGCAGTGGGGGGGAAGCAATGACATATGGGGGGGGCAGTGACATGGAGGAAGCAGTGTCAGTGATATGGGGGGGGGGGCAGTGTCAGTGACATGAGGGGGGCAGGCCGTGTGTGATATGGGGGGCAGTGATATGGAGGTTGCAGTGTCAGTGTCAGTGTAGTGACATGGGGCGAATGAAGGAGGAGATTGCGGGGCGGGTATATTGTATATTTTATATATTATTTATAATTTTTACAAAGGTTATATGATGCAGGTAGTTACAGGGAGCGCTCCCATGCGGCAGGTAACCTCTGACAGTTGTGGACTGAGCTGTCAGTAAGCTCGGATCCAGCCTGCCAGTCAGTGAGGGCGGTCCTAGAGAGAAGAATGAATAGAGCGGGATGGATGTTCCCGGTTGGTTGGAGCTGTGCCCTGCAATCATCGATGGTGAGACACAATGTAATGTGTATGTACAGGACTTGTACCCTGTATGTGTCAAGGACCCCAACCCACATGTCTCTGTTGCTCTTCTATAGAGACTGGAGCTACTCTAAAACAGGATGCATATTACTGGCTGGCTCATCAAGTGAAAATGAAGGGGAAAAGAAAAACTAATGCAGCCATCACAACTGAAGATTTGTAAGCTGTAATTCAGTACATTTTTATTTCAGGCCTTGTTCTCAAGGGTGCTCAGGTATACACAGGTGGTTATGTGGCAGTTTTACAGTAAACAGTGATACACACATGTGAGGTATCGCCGGGATCATCAGATCATGGGCAGTAATTCTAGCACCAGAACTCCTCTGTAAATTTAACTGCTTCACTGCCGCCCTATAGCAGAAATACTGCTCCTGCATAGCAAAGCCATACAAAGAAGTGTGCTTACAGTGTAAAACAGCACACAGTTAACCATTTGATCACGCCACATGTTAACCCCTTCCTGCCCAGTGCCATTAGTACAGTGTCAGTGCTTTTTATTAGCACTGATCACTGTATTATTGTCACTGGGGATGTCAGTGACACCAAGTCCCCCCCCCCGTGACAGAATGCTCATGCTGATCGCCACCATTACTAGTAAAAAAAAAAGTTGTTTTTTTTTTAATTCCAGTATATATACCGCCATTTCCAAACGCTATAACTTTCATGCAATCCAAATAATTTACATGTATTGGGATTTTTTTTTAGCAAAGACATGTAGAAGAATACATTCTGGCCTAAATTTATGAGGAAATTAGAATTTTAAAATTTTTTTACTGGACATGTTTTGTAGCAAAAAGTAAAAATATAGTTTGAGTTTTTTTTTTTTTTTTTTTTTCAAATTGTCAGTCTTTTTTTGTAGATAAAAATGCACAGGCGATCAAATACCACTGAAAGAAAGCTCTATTTGTGGGGAAAAAAAAAGGATGGATGTAAATTTAATTTGGGTGCAGCATTGCATGACTGCGCAATTGTCAAAGTAGTGCAGCACTGTATTGCAAAAAATGGCCTGGTCAGGAAAGGGGGTAAATCCTCTGGAGGGCAAGTGGTTAAAGTGGTAACCTGTTATTGTATAAAGGTGTCGCATATGAATAGTAAAATTTACATCACTGTCACCATTGCATGGGCATGCGCAATTTTAAAGCGTGACATATCTGGTATCTATTTACTATGCACAATATCATCTTTTATATTTTACAAAAAAAAATTGGCTTATGTATTGTTTTTTCAATAAAATTAAAAGTGTCTTTATTTTCCGAAAATTGCGTTTGGAAAAAAAAAAAAAAAAAAAAAAAAAAAAAAAAAACCCACCAATTTATTATCTAGGACCTCTGCTTTAAAACAATATATATAATGTTTGGGGGTTCAAAGACATTTTCTAGCGAAAAATACTGATTTTAAAATGTAAACAAAAAGTGCCAGAAATGGCCTGGGGCTGAAGTGGCTTTACACTGACTTTTGAATAGAACAAGTTCATGGGTACAGTGCACTGCAGATCGCTTTTCAGAGGGTCAGCAAAGGGCTACCACAAGTGTGCCTGAGGCCTTCCAGGCTGGATTGTTTAATATTCTATCTGGAGGCAGAGCTGCCCTCATAGTTGTACAGCAATACACGGCACATAGAAGACAAGAAGACTGACACCATATGATAACTATGGGAGCTGTGTGTACTCACTGAGGGCAGCAGGTAGATGAACATGAACAACACCAGGTCAAACAGTAGGAAGACCCACAGGTCGAACCAGTAGGAATGGCTGGACAGATTCTTCAGACAGCCCTCCGCCTCCTTCCTCCTCTCCAGCAGCTCTGCAGACACTCTGCTGCCCTCCTTCTCCTCCAGCTGCTGTGCTCTGTGCCTGCTCTCCATACTGTCTCCGTGTAGAACGGGCGGTGGCCAGCCTGTGCGACCGTGTACACAGGACGCTCACGTGACAGGAAGCTGTGTTCTCGTATCTATGCTGAGTGACGGTATCCCAGCACGTAGAATGAGAGGGGACTGGCTGCAGACTGGAGCTGCACTCTTGACAGGAAACATGTGACCTTCATTCCATCATTTTTTAATGAACTTTAAAAAAAAGTGGAGGTCACATGTTTCCTGTCAGGTGGAGATCCGCTTGGTTCACTAGAAAAAAAAAAAAAAAAAAAAAGGAGTGAAGGTCACGTTTCCTGTGAAAAAATGGAGCTCCATTCTGCAGCCACGCTCTATTGGAAAGGAGACTATGGACCGGAAGTGGGAAGGGACACAAGCGTGCCACATCTACGCAGTCGTCGGTTGCTAAGGACGCGCAACTTCAATACTGCTGCTCAGTCTGAAGCATAGGCATTCCATGTAGATGTGTATCCCCTGAAGCAACTGCGCATGTGCCAGTTTCAGGCACGGTCAGTCGATTATAGAACTACTGCATCCGAACATGTACCTGAGTTAAATTAACCCTTTACATGCCGAGTGGTCGGCAGCGGACACAGACAGGATCGGCGGGGGACACAGAGAATTATTACATGCCGAGTGGTCGGCGGGGGGGCTGTTACATGCCGAATTCTCTGCAGCGACATGGGGACGGAGGGGGGGGGGGGGGGGGTGCAGTCTGCAGCAACATCTGGCAGCATCGGACAGTGTAAGTGACATGCAGGAGGGGGGGTGGGAGCAGTGTCAGTGAAATTGGGGGGGGGGGGGTTAACTGTGTCAGTGACATGGGGGGGGGGGGGGGGGGGGGGTAGTGTCAGTGACATGGGCAGGACATCAGTAACATGGGGGGGAGGAGTGTCAGTGACACTGGGGAGGGGGGGAGGAGTGTCAGTGACATCGGGGAGGTGCAGTTTCAGTGACATGCAGGCGCAGTGAAGTGACATGGAGGAGACGCAGTGAAGTGACATGGGGTGGAGGGGCAGTGACGTGACATGGGGGGAGGATAACGTCAGTGACATAGGGTAGGACAGTGTCAGTGACATGGGGGGAGGCAGTGTCAGTGACATGGAAGGGGCAGTGTCAGTGTTTCATTGGGGGGGCAGTGACAGTGACATAGTGGGGAGCAGTGTCAGGCACATGGATGAGGGGATGTCAGTGACATGGGGGAGGACAGTGTCAGTGACATGGGGGGTGAGCAGTGTCAGTGACATTGGGGGAGTGGCAGTGGCAGTGACATGGGGGGAAAGGCAGTGGCAGTGACATGGGGAAGACAACGTCAGTGACATGGGGGAGGACTGTCAGTGACTGAGGGGGAAGGGGGCAACACAGTGTCAGTGACACATGGGGAAGGACAGTGTCAGTGATAGGGGAGGACAGTGGACAGTGTCAGTGACATGGGGGGGAGGCACAGTGAAGTGACATGGGGGGAGTGGCAGTGACATGGGGATGACGTCAGTGACATGGGGGAGGACAGTGTCATTGACTGGGGGGGAGGGGGCAACAGTGTCAGTGACATATGGGGGAGCAGTGGCGGTGACATGAGGGGGCAGTGACATATGGGGGGCAGTGACATGGGGGGTGGCAGTGTCATTGACATGGGGGGCAGTGACATGGGGGGGCAGTGCAAGGACACATGGAAAGGACAATGTCAGTGACATGGGGAGGACAGTGATAGCGACATTGAGGAGAACAGTCCTCCCCGATGTCACTATCACTGTTCCCCCTCATATCACGGCCCCCCCATGTGCCTGTCACTGCCCCCCCCCCCCATGTCAATGACACTGCCCTCTCCATGTCACTATCACTGCTCAGCCCCATGTCACTGCTCCCCCATGTGCCTGACACTGTTCACCCCATGCCACTGCCCCCCCATGTCACTGACACTGTCCTCTCCATGTCACTGCCACTTCACCCCCATGTGCCTGACACTGCCCACATGTCACTGCTCCCCCATGTAAATGTCACTGCAACCTCCATGTCACTGCCACTGCTCACCCCCATGTGCCTGAGACTGTCCCCCCCATGTTCCTGCTGCCCCCCACATGTGCCTGACACTGTCCTCCCCATGTCACTGTCCTCTTCCCATGTCCGTGCACCCCATATCACTGTCCTTCCCCCCAATGTCACTGTCTTCACCAAGTCACTGTCCTCCCCCCCCCCCCCCCCAATGTCACTGTCTTCCCCACGTCACTGCCCCCCCAATGTCACTGTCTTCCCCATGTCACTGCCCCCCAATGTCACACTAGCTTCCCCATGTCACTGCCCCCCCAATGTCACTGTCCTCCCCAGTGTCACTGCCCCCCCCCCAATGTCACTCTTCTCCCCATGTCACAGCCCCCCAAATGCCCCAGCCCCTCAATGCCACCACCCCCCCCACTAATGTCACTTTCTTCCCCAATGTCACTGCCCCTCCAATGTCACTTTCCCATGTCACTGCCCCACCCAATGTCACTGCCCCCCCCAATGTTACTGTCCTCCCCAGATCACTGCCCCCCCAATGTCACTGTCTTCCCCATGTCACTGCCACCCCAATGTCACTCTCCCCCCAATGTCACTGCCCCCCCCCCCAAGTCACTATGTCACAGTCCTCCCAGGGTCACTGCCCCCCCCCCCCCCATGTCACTGTCCTCTCTCCAATTCATTATGCTCCCCAATAAGCAGCTTCAATCCATCTTGCGGGATCGGCGGCGGCTAGTGATCCGTGGGCTCAGCTTCAGCGGTGCAGCCTGTAAGGGAGGACAGTGTCAGTGATGTGGGGGAAGGAGCAGTGTCAGTGACGTGGGGGAGGGGGGGCAGTGTCAGGCACATGGAGGACAATGTCAGTGACATATGGGAGGGGCAGTGTCAGTGACATGGGGGAGGGCGGTGTCAGTGACATGGGGGAGGGCGGTGTCAGTGGGGGGGAGGGCGGTGTCAGTGACATGGGGGAGGGCGGTGTCAGTGACATATGGGGGGGCAGTGACATGGAGAGGACAGTGTCAGTGATATGGGGGGCAGTGTCGCATATGAATAGTAAAATTTACATCACTGTCACCATTGCATGGGCATGCGGAATTTTAAAGCGTGACATATCTGGTATCTATTTACTATGCACAATATCATCTTTTATATTTTACAAAAAAAAATTGGCTTATGTATTGTTTTTTCAATAAAATTAAAAGTGTCTTTATTTTCCGAAAATTGCGTTTGGAAAAAAAAAAAAAAAAAAAAAGCAAAAAAAAACCCACCAATTTATTATCTAGGACCTCTGCTTTAAAACAATATATATAATGTTTGGGGGTTCAAAGACATTTTCTAGCGAAAAATACTGATTTTAAAATGTAAACAAAAAGTGCCAGAAATGGCCTGGGGCTGAAGTGGCTTTACACTGACTTTTGAATAGAACAAGTTCATGGGTACAGTGCACTGCAGATCGCTTTTCAGAGGGTCAGCAAAGGGCTACCACAAGTGTGCCTGAGGCCTTCCAGGCTGGATTGTTTAATATTCTATCTGGAGGCAGAGCTGCCCTCATAGTTGTACAGCAATACACGGCACATAGAAGACAAGAAGACTGACACCATATGATAACTATGGGAGCTGTGTGTACTCACTGAGGGCAGCAGGTAGATGAACATGAACAACACCAGGTCAAACAGTAGGAAGACCCACAGGTCGAACCAGTAGGAATG